TCCAGAAATCTCTTAGAGGGGATACATGTTTTCTTGCCTATCCTGCCCTGCATTGAAATGAGGGCAGAGACACGGCATGGTGTGTGGAGAGCACTCTGGCCCTAGCACACTGCGCACACAGCTCTTGTGTCCCTAGTAATCTTCTTGTAAGGACTATTAATACACTAGGGTTGTCCATGAAACACCATCATTATGTCCAGAACATTGTTCCAAAGAATCTGGCTTTTCCTGGGTCTCTTGGAAAGTTGGAAGTAAAACATGAGTTGAAGTGACTCGCTTTGGGTCAAACCAGACCACATTTTCTCAGCGAGAGAAGCTAATTTGCTAGCTTTGCTCTGACTGTCAGGAAATGATGTCTTTCAATTTAAAATGAAGTAAACCCAGGAAAAAGCAACTTGGATCAATAAATGGGGTTCTGCTAAGTAACAACAGGCCTGGATCCTGAATCTTTTTCTGCAGGTCTAAGAAATAGTCTGAGAGGTACTCCCAGCTTCTCCCCCTTGTAAGATATACAAACAGCTCCTCCTGGTGCTTCCAAGTCAGGTTTTCTGCTTTGTTTACCTCCTCCTTCCTCAAAGGCAGGAGGCCGGCATGGACAAAGAGTATGCCCAACTGGAGAGGAGGAAGAATGGAACGAAGCACAACACTGGAGAGAGACACTGTCTGGTACCAACTCCACAAACACTTCTGCGAAGTGCTGAAAATGAAACCATTTAAAGCCAGAGGTTTCAACAACGTGAGGTCTTATGTGAAGAGTTGAAAGGGACTCCCTGAAGCAGTGCCACAGTAACTGGAAAAAGGAAGCAGAGTAACTTCTCTGGTGGCTATGAGAAGTGGGAGAACACTGTACCTACCTACCTCAGAAGCAAGTACCCTATTGATCTTTGCTTGCCCCTCATTCTGCCCCCGGACAAAAGCGATTGCATCTGCATTCTTTTAATTAGTTTTTACTCAGATCACCCAGGAGCTGTTAAGACCTAGCATCTTTGCAATCCCTAAGAGGCTTTTTCTTTTTGCTTGAGAAAAGCAGAATGTGCAAAGTTTTCAGGTGTTTTTCCCTTCCAGACTCCCATTTCTGATCCTCTTCCACAATAACATCCACATCTGTTCATCTCCAACCTCCGTTCACTGTCTGGTAACACCTAGTCAGGAAGGGCATACAAGAGCAGCAGTATTTCTGACTACTTCCCATTTATTAAGAACAGGACAGAAACGTTACTTCCTCTCCTCTCTGATGTCTACCTTTTCGGTCTCAAAGGAAGTAAAACTAGTAAGTGACAAGACCAGGTACAGAATGCAATTTCCAGATACACAGGTTCAACTCCACCCACCTGAACAGACTAACACTACAATGACAACCAGAATAGTTGGCTTTACAGAAGTTCTAGTATTTCAAACAAACATATGTGATTTAAGGAAAACACAAACAAAAAAAAAAGTGAGGAATTTTGCTCTCCAAAAGGCTCCCTGAGGCTGATTGTCCCTGGCAGTGGTGGCCACCTGCTGCAGGTCCTGCACTAGGAGGTTCATTGTCACAGCTTCTCTTCTGCAGCACGAGTCTCACCAAGAGCACTCAGACAACCGTCGTGTGGCTGGCACGTGCTCCCACTGGAAGATGACGAGACAATCACGCTTTGCTCTTCCCCTCTCACCATATAGTCGTTTCAGAAAATGCAGTGGAGTTACCATGGAGGATCACAAGATTCCACAGTAAGGTCACCATCCCGTAAGGAACTGGAGAGGCACTAAGTTCCAGTATCACCCTCCAGGCACGTGATCCTCCTTGAGACTGACTCAGATGGCAACCAGGAATGAAAACTAAGAATTTTAGAAGAAATGGACTTAACTGAGGTAATTTTATATGCACCTACAGTCAGGCAATCTGTAATCAAGAAGCCAGCTATAACATTACATAGATATTTCTGTACTCCCTTCTATCATCTTCCCCTGACAACAGAACATCCCCTTCAAGGGATCAAGAAGTCCTCCCTCTCATTTTTCAAGAAGTAAACGAGTTATAGAAACACTGGTCCTCCCCCAAGCCTATTTCAGTGAGTGGAAATCTTTTGATTCACCTCAGATGAAGGGATCGTTCCTTAAACCTTTTCATTTAGAGAAACCACCAACTGCCAGGACACGTAAGCCTTCATTTAAACCACCAACTGCCAGGACACGTAAGCAGCAGGCCCTGGTCTTGCCAGACAAGTCTCAATGACAGATGAACATCCTCGCAGGGAGCCCTAGTGACTGTAATACACATCCAACTCAAGTGCCACCCTAGAGGATGGGAGCTTACTTTCCTTATCCATTCTAAAGCTCTTCTAAATGAAACGGGTATTTTGGCAAAAGGATTTTATTCAAAGGGAACAGAAAAGAAAACACCAAGAAAGGAAACAAGACAGAAAGTGCTCTAGGATGATGCTTTTTAATTGTTATTTTTATATCTTTAAAAACAAATCAAACCATTAAAAACATTATAGACGTGTGCTGAAATTTCCTGTACAACAAATATCAAAACAATAAAATTTGTACATCATTTCAAGATACTCAACAGTCACTTATTTGAAACACATCAATTTTTCCCTTCTTAAGCAGGCCCCAAATGGGAAAAAGAGTAGAACAGAAATGCAAATGTAATTGCCACACAGTGGAGCTTTCAGCCCGAGAAGTGGATAGCTTTAGTTAAGCAACAACAAGAGAAAACACTGACCAAAGAGACTGATCTTGGCAATTGTAACACAGAGAACATCAGAAGGCAGGGAAAGTTATTTGCAGGAATTCAAGTCATCCTGACCAAGACAGATCCACAAGGTAGTAGAGCATTACCTGTAATCCTCCTCCTCCTCCTGCAGAGATATCCTTTGAGGCATGTCCTACGTATTCACGTTGACACAATGGCCAACTTCATGCTTACATTTTAAGCCTTACCAACTTTTTCCACCTATACCTAGGATCGGCAGGTCATCTACTTCAAACTTGAGTCTCTTCTCACAAGAAGTCAGTTTTGGGAAAACACATGCGTACAGTTGTATTAAAAATGGATGCTCATTAGATGATGACACAAGTGAGAATTTGGCGCCTGCTTCCAACATCAAAACAATGGGACAGATATGTTTGTTTTCTATAAAAGTATCTGGGCAGTGGGTAGGCAGAAACACATACCATTCTAGCTGGTTTTCTGATCTTCTGCTGCAGTATAACTCAAACACATGACCTAGCGTAGAACATGAATCTCCCTCTCTTCTGTGCTATACAAAACAAGGGCCTTCTGAAGCAAGAGAGCATTCGCCACCCTAAGGCAGCAAGTTCTTGGGAGACCTGGAATAATGAATACTGGCTCTGTGCTCTGCACAGATGTGCCGTAATTAAAAGATTAAGAAAAAAATAACATGACTCTAAGGGCCAGGCTTTCTTCCCTCCCAGTTCCTTTGGAATGGTTCTGTTTGGTCCAAGTGGTTTATCTTTGTTTGTCATTTGACAGCAGCTTAGGAAGAACGCCCGGTGAGACATCCACTATGTGGACTGCCAGTTTGGACAGAGTTAGGCAGGATCATTAACATGGCCGTTTTGTTTTTTTTCCTAATTTTTCTTTTAAGGTATTTCAGAGAAAGAGAGAAAAAATATATTCAAGAAGACACAAGTGGCTGCTATGAAAAAAAAAAGAAAAAAAGCTGAAGTGCACTGTGGTTTGTCCTCCAGTTTTGCTCACACAGCACACCACAATTTCACACCAGGTTGTAAAAAATTCCTCTGGATATCTGTAGAGTTACAGTTGTGCACCAGGAATTCTTATGTTTTCCTTCAGCTGACAGTGGATTCTGAGAGATCGCCAGGTTCCACTGTAATGCCACATATACTCCCAGTATCTGTAGCTTTTTCTGACAACTCTGCTAAAACAAACAAAACCCCAAACAAACAACAACAAAAAAGCAGCAGAATTCCAGGGACTCTGATTATTAAACCTTCATAAGATTTTCACCACTTTATAGCTATTCTATAGCATTATTCATAAACTTCATATTCCTCTGCAATGAAACCAGTGCAATGACCTGAAGACCAAAAAATACCCCCCCTTCCCCTGACAGCTACTTAAGAAGTCCTTCATTGGTAATGCCTTCATAAGTCTAACAGTTATGTACCAGCAAAATAAATCCAATCTAATCCCTGACTTGTAAAATCAGCAACTAGGGGTTTTCAGCTCATTTGTTCTGTTTTCAAAAGGACCAGTTAAAACAACAGCAGCAGTACATTGCAAATAATTATAAAACAATTCCATTAGATCAAGGAGATGCAGGCAGGTAAGATGTGTCTCAGTTTTGAATGACTAAAACAACTGAGAAATTGGTCTTTACGGCAGAATTTTGTGCAATTTTTTTTGACAGAAACAGTAAATCCAGTCAATATGTTTGGGAGTGCTTGGACACTTGGAACCTTAGTTCAACATTTTCACAGATTTATATATTTGAGGAAAAACAACAACAATGATAAAAAGACACCAACCTGAGTAAAACTCTATTAGAATAGAGTGATCATTATTCAGTAAATCATATATTGCACCTTTAAATAAATCATTATAAATTGTATAAAAACAGGAATATCAGCCAGGAACAGGGAGGAGCTATTCTGTCCTTCATACACACCCACACACACCCCCGCACACACATTCACATACTCACTTGCTCAGGTTTTTTTACTATAGTTAAAGCTCGGAGTGACAGACCACACTCCTTTTTCCTCTAGCAGAGGCACCGAAACATTGAGGCAGGGGACATTTGTGGTGAAATGCAAAAACAAAGCTCACCTCCAAACTTCTGGAGAGTCCTGCCAACAGTGCAACTACAGTTAAGTTTGCCATAAGCCTTACTTAAAAATCTGTGTTCTCTTAAGAGTTTCAGTACAAAAATAGAATCTCTGCTGTTTTTTTTTTTCTAGAGTAGCAACTAGAAAAGGCACAATTTCCAAGTATAAATGTCCATTTGAAGGAGCTGTTTGTACTCCTTTTTTAAATAAAAAGGAACACAGAAAAAAAATAAATCAGAGGCACATATCTATTAGCTAAGTAACCAGATACAGTAGATAAAATATGTTCCTGAAAATTATAATTAAATATATTAAAACAGCCCACAAGCCTGGTATCTGTAAATGAAATCATATAAAATTGTAATAAAAAGCTTGTGTTATTATTTTAATTTTTAAATTCTAGTTCACTGTTCATACTGTAAATGCTATTTCACCTATCAGCACTGTTAAATTCCCAAGAAAAAGCAGGATTCCTCTGTTAACTTTAGTTTTGCTTGTTTGCCTTTTTTTTTTTTTTTTAATATCAACCTGTGGCTCCTGCCAGCATTGTGTTTTTCCTCCTGTAGATCGCATCTTCAAATGAGGACAGAACTGGAGAAACCAGACATGAGACACTGCACACATGGAAAACATGAGTAGAACATCTCCCTTTCCTATGTGCAGGTAACACCTCCTGGAGACACTGCTTTCCTTCCAGATTATGCATGGTAGCCATTGGCCTTCCCAAAGCCTGGCCCAGGGGTGAAATTTTCATAGATTGCCATTGCTGTCATGTTTTGGTAAATCAGATCGGTTTTCTTGTCTTTCTGAGATCTAATAATATCCAAAACACACTGGTTTAGGAAGACATACTGGTCCTGATGGAAGAAAAAGAAAAAGGAGGGTAAAATATTTCTAGAAAATACCTGATTTTGGAAGTAATTCTGCTCCTGAATATAGGTTTTATGTTTTGGATGCACTGCTCTGAACGTTATTGCAGACTATTTTTGAGAAGTTGTACGTATAGTTCATAGAAAATAGGGCTGGAAAAGGACCTCATAATGTCATCTCATCAACCTCTCATAAAAAAACTATGATCAAATTTACTGTTGTGCCTAACACCCTCTTACAAGACTTTAATGATAGAGAGTTTACAGCCTTTTTCAAATCAGCTTGAGTTAATCCACACAACTTTTTGGATCAAAGTGATAATTTCAGGAGGAACACCTGTGTTCCTGCAGAACACAAAAGATACACACGGAGACCATTTGACTCAACATAATTCTGGCTCACAGCTATAAAGATAAAACTCACATGGATAAAACAAGCTGCAAAAAAACCTTTTGCAGTATTTGATTCTTTCCAGCTGCAAACACCAGTCCTACAAAGTACTCTTTACAGAGATTGCTATGGCTCCTGACTGCGACTACTGTTGTGCGAAGAGATGAAGCAGGAAGGAGGGAAGTTAAATAAAGAGCAATTTCAGATTGCTCCTTAATATCTCATCTTCCTCTAATACTGAGCTACATCTTGAATCCACCTTTCCTGGATTACTACGCACATTTAAAAAGCATGCTGCTGGACGAAAGACAGCCTTACCTCAGTCTGCACCATTAAAGGTCGGTGCATGCGAAGATCATATACCACTCCATATACATCTATAGTATTCTCCATTTCAATCTGCTGAATCAGGCGGTCAATGGCAATGAACGTCCCTGTCCTTCCGACACCAGCACTGCAATGACACGGGGAAGCTAGTTACTGCTTTCTCTCAACCACCTGCTCACTGGTGGCCCGGTGAAAAGCCAGTGAAGCTGGTAAGATGCTTTCTGTTATTTCAGTGGCACAGATACTACAAGTCTCTGCAGTCCAGAGGGGTGGTTCTTATAATCACCAAGGAGGGAGGGACATGCTTCTAGGCTTCCCAGCCTTGCACTTCCACAAGATTACATGTAAAAGCACTTGAAAAGGCAACTTTTTCAGCTAAGTTTTCCGGCTAGGAGAGAGATGTTCTATTCTAATCAAATTTTGTATCACATACTTTGCTACCTACATAGCATCGCTACATTTCTGAAGCACGGGGCAAAGGTTTTAATTCAGCATGGTGAATAGCCATGTCCTTAAGCAAGGAGATCTATTTTTCCCTTTTTTTTTTTTTAAATCATATTGAAAAAGAATTGTTCTTAAAAAAAGCCACAGGATAAAAGTGTCTAACACAAAGACGTTTTTCTTACCTGCAGTGCACCAGAGTAGGAGAGTCGATTGGATTCTGACTGCTGTACTCATGAACAAGGTGTCTAAAGTTGATTAGAAGGTCTGTTGTCTCTGGCACGCCGTGATCTGGCCAGGAGGTGAAATGGAACTGGCGCACTGTGTGGCTCTCTGGTGTGTTGGACTAGAGGAATATACATTAAAAAAAAGAAAACGTACATCCTTCAGAGGAGCAACAGTAGGGCTTCCTGCCATATGTACTGGCCAAAGCTCAGCTTCATTAAAGATCCCTGTTACGAACTGCGCAGTAATTTGATCAATGATATTTCAGTTTCCCTCTTCCTTCCACTCTGGTAGAGAATACTTTGAAATAATTTCCTTTTACTTTTCACTTTACTCCAAGATCACCTCTGCTGCATTAGATTTGCTGACAAAGATGGGGCTAATTGCGCAGTCTAGAAGAAATTACAAGTACCTATATAAGCACAAGTTTTGGTGCAAGTCTCAGAGAAACACGAGCTGCAGGATCACTGATGGGGCAATCGGTAAATCCCATTAGCAGGCTGGATTTTGCTGGTAGATCCCTTTCTGCCACAGGGAGGGTCTTACTGACAACTCCATTCCCACCTCTGGATATGTTACTAAATGTTATCTGTGGGAAGCCAGGGCACGTAAACAAATGCATATAAATAAGTATCACTGGAATCTTGTTGTCAGTAAATGATGCAAAAGATTTTAAGTCAGACTTTTGCCAGAAAGCAGACCAATACATTTAAAGGCTCAAATGAAAATAAACCACTCTTACCCTTTTCCCTTAGACAACTTTGAATTCAACTATATTTTAGTGAAATTATTATATTTTGTCACTCCGTTGCTGCCCGACATGTGAAGTCACAGTGCTATGATAAACTACTACTACAGATACTTGTACACAACTAACAGCTGAGGGGGTACTCACCTTTTCTACAGTGAAGTCCCTTATTGTCCATTCTGGAAGGACAATCTCCGAGACCATTGTCACAATAATGTCACCATAGCTCTTGGATTGTTTGTCTGGCCAGTATTGCTCACATTTTGTCTAAGAAGAGAGTTACAAGGTTAGCCACATTGCACACAGCAACAAAGCAACTGACTGTTAGTTTTAGTTAACACTCCACCTGAAGAAGGGCTAGAAAGCACGTAACCCTTCCCAATGGCCTCTCTCAAGACAGGAGAAGCTCTACCAAAATCATTATTTAGGAAGAAGAACACACCCTTAAAGACAGCGATTCCACAACCTTCCTGAGACAATCTATTCTGGTAGTCAGCAGACACAAAAATGGGAAAAAAATAAAAAAAAAGTTGGCCTATTTAATTTAGAAAACAGTCTTCCAGTAAGTGAATGGTTGTTAAAAGAAAGTGGTCAGTCTCCAACCTACTAGGATAACAACAAAATTAGAAGAGATCCGACCACCTTCAAGATACAGTTTGGTTTTAATAAAAACATACCCGGGCTTGTTCAACACATTTTGTTAACATAACAATAGAGTAGATATTCTTTTCCCAAATCATGTGCCAGAAGTCTTCTATAGTGTTGGGTAAAGGACCCTGTGCAGCAATAAATGCCTTCTTTGAGTTATAGCCCTAAGAAGAAGAATAAAAACAATATAAATAGATATATACACACACGCTTGCATCAATGAGACACAAAAAGCTGATTTTAAACATCATTATGATGTTAAGCCTACATCACAAAAATACATGTTATATTTAATTTCAACTAATGAAACAACTTACAGGCATATAGCTTGCATTAATATAATCACCAGTTGCAGAGCTCTGATCTGAAAGTTTAACACGAGAAATATCATCTGCAGAAAGAAAAAAGGAAAAGAAAATCATGAATCTTAGAATTAGAACCTTTCAGAAAAATGCTGCTTATCTAATGCATGGTTTCTAAACAAAGGTGTTTTAGAAAAACGTGCATTTTAAGAATAAGAATATAACTTTAGGAATGATAAATAGCAGTGGTTTAACATTTTTATAATGAAAGCCTTCAGAAAAATGAGTGGCCAGGATAAGAATTCAGAATACTCAATGCAGATTGTTTTTTAGAACATGGTTTAGTTTTGCATATTTATATATTTTTAATCCAACACAAAATTCACTATAGTTTTAATTACTGGAGAAAAATAGATAATTTGCCTCCTGCTGTTACTGCAGCTGATGTTTTCCTCCACAGCATCCCTAAATACCCTTCACTGTTCACCTTCCAATTCCTTCATACACTCTGCTGTCATGCAGACAGCCAGGCAGGGCTTTGGCTCTTGGGCTGCAAAGCTGGCCAGCAGTGTCTTAATATTTCTCATAGCTCTGCACATCTCTCTGTCTGTAGTCAACCGTTAACCTCTTGGTTTTGTTTTTTTTTTCCAGTCTGGACTGCAAGTTTCTCACAAATGGACAACTAAAACTATTTAATTATGGGAAAGTTCCTTACGGAGCCTTCTTGAGGGAAAGCTCTTTAGGTTTGCTTATAGAGTGATTTTGGGAAAGCAGCAGCCCAAGGTCATTCATTTGGAAACTGACGACATTAATCCCTCTTTGAAACTTCTAGGTAATATTAAAGCCAGATTAGCCAAACCCAAGGTTTTTCACCTAAAAACTCAACCAGGAGAAGATGCAAAACTGAAGAGAGTAACTCACATGGTAAGACGTTGTTGTATCTATTTTTTCCCCTGTTCTCAGCAAGTTCAGCAGCAAATTTGGGTTGATGAACACCAGCAGACTTGAGTTCCTACAATAAAAGGACTCATGAGCGCCTGGTCCTGGTTTGGAAGTCATACAGAAACACATGACTGAAACAGAGAAATACTCCAAACACTGTTGGCTTCTGCTGTAAAAGTAGGCATGTTAAACTGGGATAAGTGACAATAAAAATCAGCTTTTTACAGAATGGGAGGGTGACAGTGGCAAACCTGCTAGAGATGGGATTAATAGAAAATGTAGGAATAAGTAGCATGTTTAAAACCTAGAGATGGGCTTTAAAAGCCCAGAAACCGTTTTGCAGAAATACATAACACTGACATCAACTGCACACTCATTCTGACCCCAAGGCTTAGCATAAGCTTCGCAGACGTTTCAGGGAGAAAGGAAGCAAGTACATGATGAAATGACTGAAGGAAGCAAAATCTGAGAAGAAGGAAAGGTGGAACACCAGCCTGCAAAGTACAATAAAAGGGACGGAATTTGATCTGGAAAGAAGAAAGTAAATTAATAGGTTCAAGGAGATGAAAAAAAAAGAGATTCTTTAACAGCAGACATGACAACACAGCGTCCTTACCAACACTTGATTCCTGACTTTTGTACCTTATAACAATTCAGCTTTAGCAAATTTCATAGAGAAACAGTTATGGTCACTAAGGAAATCATAACTGCTGTTTCTCTGAGTAGTCCTTCCAGCTATTCACAGGTGTCATTTGCAAATCACACCTATGCATTCAAGGAGTCAGTGATATAAGCAAGAGACCTGTCTTGCTGCATCAAAACCCCAAACCAATAAAAAAAACCCAAAGTGCAGAGAAGTTAAATAGCTTTCCCTAGGCTAACTCTGTAGTGCAACTAGGGCAATGACTCTGGAGATCCTGGCTCTGGTGAGAGCTCCAAGCAGCAGCCCACACTATAAGCTCACAGGTAGAGATAATGGTTCAAGATGTGAAGTACTTATCACACGCTTCAACTAAATTTGGAGACAAATCAGGAAAAGGAAGGCCATACATGCGGCTTAATAATCTCTCTAATAAAGGTGCCTTGTCTTCCCCTGCAGTAAGCCTCGCATACGCTCCATAGGAAACCTAATTTGCCTTTCCAAAGATGTTTGTCATGAAGCTGTCTCAACTGAGGGCACATACCTCATACTCTTCAGCAAAACCACAGTTGGAGTCAGCATGCTGCTTCTTAAAGTAGGATTCAAAGTTCTCCACCTTAATCATTTTTGATCTACAATAAGAAAAGCCATGTATTGGTAACTGGTATTAGGTAAATACATCGTGAATTCAGTTAATGTGTTAGAAAGTATACTTTACTTACTTCTTGACTCTTCAGGGGAGGGTGGGGGGAAGAAAAAAAAAGGTTGATTAGACACATGCAGCTGTATTTTTCACTACGTGAATCTAAGAATGAAAGCATGACTGTTAGTAGCGGCCACAAAACTGTGCATTTACAGGGGACAGGATATCAAGCATAACATTTAACTGATTTGTTAAACCAAGGACAGAATAGCACATCCTTCAGGAGAGGAATATCACAAAAGGTGTCAGGTCAGCCACTTCTGATTGGACCCGTTTCCTGATGGATTTTATGTCAGCTATCAAAGTCTACACAGGTGGGATTTCATGGGATGCTCCGGCCATGCCTTTGCATCAGCACAAAAAGTGGTGCAAGAACCAATAATGTGATTCAATTGCACTGCCTGTGACTTCAAATATGTTGTGGTTACCCTCCCATGGCCAGCTTTTACAATCTTAATGTTATTCGAATTAATGGCACAGCACAAAGTAGTCAAATCAAAGGAAAATTCAGGCCAAAGTACAGAATTTTGCCTATGTGCACTTAATCAACAATTTGGATTGTTTCCTCAACGTGCACGGCAGCCTGTGTTTCATTCAAACATCCCGTTTTTCAAAACTACGTGGAGCATTTGTGTGTCTAATGGCGATTCATGAAGCCAGTACTCAAATCTCTGTGGCAGTTCTAGAAGCCTTGATCAATATGATTATTTTTAGTCTGCAGGTTGGAGTCTTTAAATTCCATGAGGAATTAATACTGCATAATTATATATAAAACTGCATAGAAAACAAGTATCAGGGTTCAGAGTAAGATTTGCAAATACCACTTCAGCTCAGAAAAAAATGTATGAAAGGAGATGGACTTACTTAATTGGAGAAAAGGACACTTCAGTATTTCTTTTGTCTTTCCTATAAGGCGAAAGAAAGCAACAGGATAGGTTCACAGTAGAATTTAACAGAACACATATGAGATTTCTGACAACAGCTATTTCCTGTGCCTGTTCAGAACAATTTCTTTTAAAGCATCTCATTCGTGCAAAAACCCCTCCCGAGGCAAACCTTACACCTGCAGCAAGAATAATTTCATCCTTCATTCAGTGACATTGTGCAATGGGACTGTTTCTTTCTGTTGGATCTAGAGTATAACACCTGAACACAATGCATGTAGTTTGGTGGAAGAAGTATACCTGAGGGATCTGCATCGCTAGCTAACATCACAGAAGAATTGCTACTCATCCCAGAATCCCTACAGTAAGTGTCGAACAGTGATGTGTCAGTGGCACTGAAGGCGGTAGTTGAATGAAAATAAGTGTTCCTAGTTTTAAAGGAAACTCTTCTCATTATTGTCCACAGCTATTGGACATGCCCGTAAAAATAACAGCAGTTAATCAAAGAAACTAAGAAAACTGGACTAAGGGCCCTACAGCTAACTCTTTAGAAAGGATGTACTACCTAATCAGAAGCAGGAAAAAGCCTTTGTGGATTCTAAGTCCCAGATTATTTGGAAGAGATTGGAAACAGAGACCAGGCTCAAACCCTAGACAACTCATCACCTTCTCGAAACTCCAGAATGGAAGTTTGATGTGACAGGCCATCAAGCAATAAAAATCCGTGACTAATAGATAATTAAAAGTAATACCATCTAAATTACAATTACATACATCTTTTAGCACAATGATTTGTGATGTTTGTTCACTTCTGACTGAATTATTTCATGAGCATGCATGAATTCAGAAGAGCTAAACAAGACAAATCTTAACTCATTAGTTTCTAACTATAGGGTTGAACAAAGTCATTTAACTAGTTTGATACATCAACTCTAATCTGTAACACACAAAAAAGATTTTTAATAGAATGTATTTTAAGGCTTCAGGACAGAAATATATGAAACAGAAAGAGAGGCCTTTTTTAGGCGAAAGATACAGAAGTGAAATACTGGTGTTCCTCATCACAATAAATACAATAATGAACACACATTACCTTCTTCTTCTCCAGAATATGAAACCCACTATAGCCACTACAGCCAATATAGCTAAAAGGGATCCAATAACGGCTCCGGCGATAACACCTGATCGAGAGAGAACAAGTATTACTTATTACTAATTTACCTCTTTGGTAATAATCAACATGCTACAAGAGAACCTCACAAGTGACAAAGCATGCTCTGCTCCGCTAAACACCTTTTCTTTACTATGTCCTTTGGCAGTACCAGTACTGATAGCTCACTAAGAGTAATAAACCAAGGATGATAAGTTAATAAAAAACTGGGATCAAAGAAACAGTATTTGCATTCCAATACAGCCATTTCTAATTTAGCAGAACATCAGCTGCTTTTTGCTGTTTGTTTCTGTACCAAAGTCTCAGTGGTCCATCCAATCCCTTTCAGCATGCCATGAGTAGTACAGCTTTCGGTTACTTCCACAGTGGAAGTCATACATGGAAAAAAGAGGTCACCTGCAGAACTAGCAAGGTATGAATTTACAGAGCAGTGTCACTGCAAAGCTAGAAAAAAAAGAGTCCATCACAGAGAAACCAATGGGTGTTTTGCTATTATGAAACTTGCCATAATTAAGGAATCTCCACACACCATATACGTGCCAAGCTGCCAATCCTATATTTGACATTAACGATACCTGGATCCTGGGGTAGCAAAACCGCCTCAGAACAGGGTGAAAACGATACATAACTATCTTCCCCCATAATGATGCTGTCCACAGTAAAGGTTATATTAGTGAAACCTGCAACACTTGCTCTGTTGATAAGGGAGAAGAAAAAAAAAACCACAGGTACATTAAATGGTTTTAACAGCCTTAAGCAAGGTCTGCAATCTTTTCATTAGAGGATCTTTCAGATTTCAACTGCAGCAAAATTAACAAAACAGTGGTTTGAGATAAATACCTGTATGAATGAAGTGGAATCAGTGGTCCATTTTCGTAGCCATACATTGTGTTTCCCTCGCCTACGTTAACGATGTTTGTACCATTCTGAGAATGGAAAGAAGGTGATTTTGCCTGCTCTAGATCTATGACATATGTTACATAGGTGAATGTCGTCTTCTCTTTGAAATCTTTGTACGTGTTGTTCAATTTAGACTTCAAAGAACTACAACCTGCAGGAAAAAAACAAAGATATAAGTGGTATACATCATCCACTGATTTTGTATCAATCGGCACAGTGGCTGAGATACGCAATACAGCGTGTCACATTAATCACAGTTGTCATTACTCCATAAGTACTGCCTGAAATGAAAGGCTGAGTACAACAGACAATCTCAGAAATCTCTGCTACTGCAGTACAACTTACTGAACTAGCTCCCTACCCCACAATGTTACTTGTTTTACTTCTACCATGTATAGTGGAGCTTCTCTGTAAAGGTACATATGCACTGTATCAACTATCATATGTAGAGAGTAAAATGCAACTAGCACAGAAAAAGTCAATTGGTATTGATAACATTGTGCCACCCAAACAGTATCAAGCTTCAATCAGAGTGACACTGAACTCATCCTGACCTATACTTCCCTTGCAGTGTCTTACAAGAAGTCTCACATCTAGAACCTAAGGGATGGAAGAGTTAATTTCTGCCTTTTCTTGACACAGACAAGCATTGGACTAAATACTGATCAGAACAGCTTCTCTTCCAGAAGACTAAGAAGAACGGGCTACCGCAGTCAGTGACCAACAGGCCACCATCTGCAGAACAGCATCACTTCACAGTGTCTGTTGTTAGAAGATGAACCCTAGAGACTTGGGGCAGATTATACAGTTGAGGCATAGGTGACCTAAGAGGTAATAAACAAGCTCAAATTATGAGTTGTCCAACAACTCAAGAGCAACCAAGCTGATGTAAATATTCAAAGTGTTGCAGGAGGAAGAAGAATCTTCCTCATTTGACTGAAGTTTGCATACATCGCTCTCCACTGACTGCTTTTACAAAGCTCCTTATCTGCTTTATCTCCTTCTAAAAGCAGATATAGTATTGAATTCACCTTTAAAAATGAGAAGCCTTGCAGGAGGTCTGAAAGGTAGAAAAGCTCTAGTACATTTTCTGCAGTTATCCAGACAAGGTTTGATCTGCCACCAGCAGCAAAGCTCTCAAGTGTAACTGTGCAGGAACAGGATGCAAGACAGCTCTTCTAAAGCACTGGTTACACTGAAAGCAACTGAGGTTGCACTTAACTCAGTTGCCTAGAAATGGGTGTTCAGTACTATCCAATATATGTTAAATGTCCTGTCTGGTCCCTAGGTTCCATTCCAAAAGGATGTACATCCCGGGTTATAACTGCAGCTCCTTGTGGATGTCTTGGATATCAGCCTAAGACACCTCAAACAGCCTTAGACACCACTGCTTATGCAATTGAATAAAGTTCCCTCTGTCTATCCTAAAGGTAACAACGTCTGTTCTAAGACAGAAACGCACCTCAAGCATATTAATGCTATTTCCACAACATAAAGCTGAAGCGATGCTTAGCCATAAGGATGGTTGTCCGTTGCTATCAAAGCACTCAGACTATATTATAAATACAGGCAATCTTCCTTCCTTATTTCTCTCAGTCACATCTTGAAAGTCCTCTTTCTTGAATAACTTGCAATCAGAACCACACAGAAGAACGCACTGAATCTCAGCAAGACTAAACAGGATTGGCTGAAGGTACAAGCAGAGCTGTTGCTGTGTGCAAGAGACTGACATTCAAATCACCAACTCTGGGGTAGCTGAGTAGGCATGTGGATGGAATTTTCATGGAAAAATTTCCATGGAAAACTGGAATTTTCTGCACTGATGTACTCTTTTAATATAGGTATATAAAGGCATTTCTTGGACATATATTATATGGAAAACCACAGAAGAGAGATCTACAGTCAAACTGCTGCAAAATGAATTTCTAGTGTTAAAACAAAGGATAAGCATGAATGTCAAATCCCACTTGGGGGAAACTATCTCCATCAGTGGCAGAAATAAAAAGAAGTTCAACTAGAACCCACACTGCAAACGTAAGTTCCTTAATTTTATGATTTATCACTAGACATTCACCAATTAAAGACGGTTCTCTGTTTTCATGCTTTAAAGAGGTGAGTTTGATAGACTACCTTCTAGGTTTCCCTGGTGTTCAACCTCCAATAGCATGTAATGCTGACAATGCTATTCAAGCCTTCCACCTGCACCCCATCTCTCTCAGTTAATAGTGTTTTAAATAAAATCAGAAGCAGGCCTTTTTTTTTTCTTTTTTTTCTTTTAAGATCTTACTGTAGATACCTTCCAGATGAAGAAGGGAGGGGAAAAGGGAGAAAAGCATCCCACATTCCAAAACTGCTTATATTAGCAGCTCTGGAAATTATTCAGGTGGGGGAGGGAGGGAGGTGGTGGAAAAAATGACACTACACAATCTTGAGGCACGAATCACTGGCAAATCAAGGTGGCAACAGCACAGTGACAATACATAAGACATATACAAGGATAAGTGAAAACAGTGGCTTTCTGAAAACAAGAGGTGACTTCACGCAAACAAGGTATTTGCCTCATGATTTTTGAAAGGTGACTGAAAATACTGAGTCAGCTTTTTCTCTATTCATTTAACACCTATTCAGAGTTTAAAACATAATGCTGCCTCATAAATTGTTTCACACAGCTACAAGATAATATCATAATATCTTACCGTGTTCTGTTGTGATCATTACTGCATAGGCTTTTAATGGTCCATTCACTGACTCAAAATCAGAGAATTCAACAGACAACGACCTGTGACTCACTGCCTTGACTAAAGGAGCTCTGCTTGGAGGTGGGTCTATAAACAGAAATATTTTTTAGTACCTTAATGACTGATAAAAAAAAATATCTCCAAACAAGAAAATGCTGTAATACTGATGCTGCTCATATAATGTATATTTATTGTGCATCACATTAGACTTTGCATGAATGTAGTGTTTTATTCATAACCTGTAGGCAGATAAGGTATTGCATATCAAGTTTGGTATTCTGCAATCATGAAGTCAATATTTTGTTAATAGCAGTGTCTTTCATACTCAATCTTAATGCTTACCAGTAATGCTTGTGGTACACATTTTCCGTACTGGAAGGCTTTCAGAACTATTTGCAAGAGTTACTATTGTAACATTATAGGTGCTGAAATAATTTAAATCTGCTGTTGTGGTGTTTTCCTCTGAGCCTTCTTTCAAGCAGGATGTAATCTCTTTTTCATCTTTCCATGTACTATTATGTGTTATAATTTTGAAGCCAGAATTGTTCCCAGAAGGACATTTCCACTTCAGCATTAGGTAAGACTCTTTGGCCACTGGTTCACACTGAAATGAATTCACTGAGAGAGGGGCTAAAAAAAAAAAAAAAAAAAAAAAAAAAAAGATAAAGAAATCAAGTATTGTAGTGAATAGAAAAAGCTGTCTATTTGTAAATTCCATGTATAAACATTTGTAAGACCATTATTCCTTTCCACTTTTAAAAAGACAAAGCTACTGCCTACAAGGACTTGCTGCCCTATGAGGAAGAGAAGCATTGAGCACACTCCATACACAGACCTCTTCTGCGCTAACCCCTCTGCAGACAGGTTTACTGAGAAAATTTGAGTATCTGTCGAGGTCAGCAAAGTTTTCAAAATACTGTTCAACCATTGGACATACCACTCTAAGAACATTTTTAGAGTAGTATGTAGATTGACACTAACTCCCTGTATAATTATGTAAAACTCTTAGTGGCCAACAAATAAGAAAACAAATGTGAGCTCCGTGCGTTAAGAGCACAGCAGTAGCCATCCTTAAGAGCAGCAACTACAACAGGTCAGTTTGTGTGAGTGTCTTATAGGACGCAATATAAAAATTGCAATGTTATGACCAGATACAAAAAGATATTGAAAAAGTTAATGTAGCAGTAAGACTGAGAAGTCCCTCTAAACTGAACGTCTTATAAAACTTGGCCTTCAAGACCAAAACTCTTATAACTTCTACAATTGTAACACATAGCAAATTTATTCTCTCTCTTGATAAAGAAGTATTTGGTACTTCCAAATATAGGGGCAAAAGACTCATGGATTAAATTATTTTGTTATGAAAAAGGGGGATTATGTTAAGAAACTAAGGAGAAGCAGAATTGTGCACCAGAAGAAACAGATTTATTTAAGAGATAGATGTGAGTGACTGAGACTTATTTCTACTGCATTTTATAAATATTTCTTTTCCTTCAGTAACACTGTCAGCTACTCCTACAAATAGAGTGAAATTATAGAAGGTTCCAGGGTTCACGTCTGTAATAACAGCGCTGGTGACAACGGATGTCTGGTTTCTAGAGGAGGAACCATGACTTTGGATCTCTATCCTGTAGGTGTAGTTAGAAGCATCATCTGTGCTCCATGGGAAGAATCAGAGACTAGTATATTCTGCCCAGATATGGAAAACAGAGCTGGGCTCTGTTAAAGTCAAGACAAGAGTCCGTCAACATTCACGAATATTTGCTGTCAAACACAGACAGAAAAAGCAGAGGCACGGCCATGCTTCCATGGTTAGGACAGAGCAGCATTTTCTCAGTACCAGACACTCTCTTAATGGGTCCATCCTAGGGCACCTCTGGAAACCTGACTGAGGAGCTCTGGGACAGATTCCCCACACCTTGGGTAAAACAGGACAAAATGAAGGAAAGGACACAGCAGAACATATTCAGAACAAAGGGGAAAAAATGGCCACAATGCCTAGCATGAGGAACACAGGACCACCTCAACCTTCTCCTCTTTCCTGATGAGCTGAGCAGCGCAGTGTGGCTGAGAGCCATACGGCACAGTGATGCCCACAGCCCAGCTGCAGCCATGGCCCCCTCCAATGGAGGAAGTCCCCCAGGCACACAATGTACTCTGTGTGGGAGCCTTTCAAAATAAGGACCTGAGAGCCTCATCCACAAAGTAGAGAAGGCAACAAAACCTCCCACAGAACCCCCTTCCACACATTAACATCGCTGACTGCAGGTAGGCCATGTGCAGCACTTCTGCTTGAAACAATATCGTATTTCAACCCTCAGGCAGAAAAGCAGAGGCCTGCGCTGCACAGCAAAACACAGCCCACCAGAAACAGCTGCAAGAAACTGTGACTTACTTGTATACAGGCATATGGACACCCCTTCTCCTTCCGTCTGACCGTCATTCACTGCTGCAAATACTGTGAAATTATACATCGTCCCAGGGATTAACCCAGTAATTTCAACTTCAGCGACACTGGACGTCAGGTTCCAAACAGAGGTACCATTTGCAACCTCTATCCCGTACGTGTAGGAGTTGGAATCAGCATCGCCCCCTGACCATGTTAAGTTGACAGAAGTCATGCCAATATATTTGGCCTCAAGATCATGGACTGGGCTGGGCTCTGTGAAAGGCAAGACAACAATCTGTCAACCTGCAAGAACATCTGCTCACAAACATGGACAGAAGAAACACAGGCACACCACTCCTTCACTCTCTTCACTTCGCTCATCATTCAGAGTGCAGGAGCACTGTAACATCACCATCAGATGCTCCTGGATGCTTTTTCATCAGTGGCTGGGTAACAGAAAAATAAGAAAGAGGCAGTTCAACTGGGATTCAACTTCCTTTCACATTCAAAAGCATTAGCACAGGTCACCATGGTGCCAGCACTCCCAGGGTTTTGCTTGGGAATACAGAGGCGGGCAGGAAACATACAAGGTTGCAGTGGAAGGTGGGGAAAGGAGATGGTGGTGTATCTGTTCGCAGCAAAAGGTAAGGAACATCAAATATCACTATAAGACCAGAGGTGATGATGCAGGCATGTCGCTCCGTTGCCACCCTTCATGCCCTGAGCTAGCACTGCCTAAATCTTACTTTCCTGCTGCAGCCCAATGACAGTCACAGGCCGCTGAGTCAAAAAAATTCCCTGGGCACAAACACACTCTCTGTGTGAGAGCCCTTTAAAACCAGGGTCTGAGGTCACATCCTCCAAGAACTGAAGGCAGCAAAAACGCCCACACAAATCCCAGGCCAGGGAGGCAGGTTCTCAGGAAGGGTTCCTTCATTGCGTTATAGGACTCAGTGACCACCATCAACAACCACTGGTTTTGAGGGGTTTTGTTTTACTTTGTTTTTAAAAAGAATGCTATGTCACTTCCATGCAAACATCTGACTGCAGGCAGGCAAAGCACAGCACCTCTGCCTGCAACAGTACTAAATTACAACCCTCAGGCAGAAAAGCAGAGGCCTGCGCTGCACAGCAAAACACAGCCCACCAGAAACAGCTGCAAGAAACTGTGACTTACTTGTATACAGGCATATGGACACCCCTTCTCCTTCCGTCTGACTGTCATTCACTGCTGCAAATACTGTGAAATTATACATCGTCCCAGGGATTAACCCAGTAATTTCGACTTCAGTGACATCGGACGTCAGGTTCCAAACAGAGGTACCATTTGCAACCTCTATCCTGTACGTGTAGGAGGTGGAATCAGCATCGCCCACTGACCATGTTAAGTTGATAGAAGTCACACCAATGTATTTCGGCTTGAGACCATGGACTGGGCTGGGCTCTGCGAAAGGCAAGACAACAATCTGTCAACCTGCAAGAACATCTGCTCACAAACATGGACAGAAGAAACACAGGCACACCACTCCTTCACTCTCGTCACATTATTCATCACTCAAAGTGCAGGAGCACTGCAATATCACAACCGCTTTTGCATCCGTGGCTGGGTAACAGAAAAATAAGAAAGAGGCAGCCCAGGTGGGATTCTTCTTCCTTTCACATTCAAAGGCAATAGCACAGGTCATCATGGTGCCAGCACTCCCAGGGTTTACTCTGGCAACCCAGAGAGGTGGGCAGGAAGGAGAAAACAGCAGAAGGGAAAGATGGTGGTAGTAAAGGCAAAAGCAAAAGGTAAGGAACATCAAATATCCCTAGAAGAGGAACAGAGGTGATGACCCAAGCAGCCTGCTCCTTCTCCAACCCTCATGCCCTGAGCTCACTCCCATGGCAGAGAGACTACCTCCAAAAACCCTCTCTGCAGCACCCTATTCTCTGTGCATCTTCAAAATAGGGCAATTAGCCATTACAGTCAGGCAGCACAGGAGACGCTTTCATGAATCAACTGGAAACGTAGGAGCAAACATACAGGTACATTTCAGGACAACACAAATGCCAGGAAAAGGCATCTGTTTCCTTTCAAATACACCCCATGGAATGGCCAGGCTGGGCTACAGCCTTGCAGGCCAGCTCCAAGACGGTCCCTCCAACACCAAACATCAAGACTTTTGATACTCAACACAGCAAGGTGCTGGATAGCCAAAGCAGTTCTCCTGAACTAGCATTGCCCAAATCTCACTCTCCTGCTGCAGCCTGATGGCACCTATGGATGCCCAAATTACAGAAGTTCCCCTGGTGCAATATGGTCTGTGTGAGACCCACCCTGAAAGAAAGGTAAGAGACCCCCATACTATAGGAAATGAAACCAACCCCCTTTACCAAATTTAGAAGATACAGGTTCTCAGGGAAAAATCTCTTCTCTGCGTTGTCATCCTTGGGGACTAACTTCACCAAGAGCTTCCTATGAGGCCAATGCTGCTTCTGCACTTTAACATCCCATGCTTCGCAGATTGGCCATCTCCAGGTCCAGGACCAAAATATCACCTCTGCCTGCAACAGTACTAAATTACAACCCTCAGGCAGAAAAGCAGAGGCCTGCGCTGCACAGCAAAACACAGCCCACCAGAAACAGCTGCAAGAAACTGTGACTTACTTGTATACAGGCATATGGACACCCCTTCTCCTTCCGTCTGACTGTCATTCACTGCTGCAAATACTGTGAAATTATACATCGTCCCAGGGATTAACCCAGTAATTTCGACTTCAGTGACATCGGACGTCAGGTTCCAAACAGAGGTACCATTTGCAACCTCTATCCTGTACGTGTAGGAGGTGGAATCAGCATCGCCCACTGACCATGTTAAGTTGATAGAAGTCACACCAATGTATTTCGGCTTGAGACCATGGACTGGGCTGGGCTCTGCGAAAGGCAAGACAACAATCTGTCAACCTGCAAGAACATCTGCTCACAAACATGGACAGAAGAAACACAGGCACACCACTCCTTCACTCTCGTCACATTATTCATCACTCAAAGTGCAGGAGCACTGCAATATCACAACCGCTTTTGCATCCGTGGCTGGGTAACAGAAAAATAAGAAAGAGGCAGCCCAGGTGGGATTCTTCTTCCTTTCACATTCAAAGGCAATAGCACAGGTCATCATGGTGCCAGCACTCCCAGGGTTTACTCTGGCAACCCAGAGAGGTGGGCAGGAAGGAGAAAACAGCAGAAGGGAAAGATGGTGGTAGTAAAGGCAAAAGCAAAAGGTAAGGAACATCAAATATCCCTAGAAGAGGAACAGAGGTGATGACCCAAGCAGCCTGCTCCTTCTCCAACCCTCATGCCCTGAGCTCACTCCCATGGCAGAGAGACTACCTCCAAAAACCCTCTCTGCAGCACCCTATTCTCTGTGCATCTTCAAAATAGGGCAATTAGCCATTACAGTCAGGCAGCACAGGAGACGCTTTCATGAATCAACTGGAAACGTAGGAGCAAACATACAGGTACATTTCAGGACAACACAAATGCCAGGAAAAGGCATCTGTTTCCTTTCAAATACACCCCATGGAATGGCCAGGCTGGGCTACAGCCTTGCAGGCCAGCTCCAAGACGGTCCCTCCAACACCAAACATCAAGACTTTTGATACTCAACACAGCAAGGTGCTGGATAGCCAAAGCAGTTCTCCTGAACTAGCATTGCCCAAATCTCACTCTCCTGCTGCAGCCTGATGGCACCTATGGATGCCCAAATTACAGAAGTTCCCCTGGTGCAATATGGTCTGTGTGAGACCCACCCTGAAAGAAAGGTAAGAGACCCCCATACTATAGGAAATGAAACCAACCCCCTTTACCAAATTTAGAAGATACAGGTTCTCAGGGAAAAATCTCTTCTCTGCGTTGTCATCCTTGGGGACTAACTTCACCAAGAGCTTCCTATGAGGCCAATGCTGCTTCTGCACTTTAACATCCCATGCTTCGCAGATTGGCCATCTCCAGGTCCAGGACCAAAATATCACCTCTGCCTGCAACAGTACTAAATTACAACCCTCAGGCAGAAAAGCAGAGGCCTGCGCTGCACAGCAAAACACAGCCCACCAGAAACAGCTGCAAGAAACTGTGACTTACTTGTATACAGGCATATGGACACCCCTTCTCCTTCCGTCTGACTGTCATTCACTGCTGCAAATACTGTGAAATTATACATCGTCCCAGGGATTAACCCAGTAATTTCGACTTCAGTGACATTGGACGTCAGGTTCCAAACAGAGGTACCATTTGCAACCTCTATCCTGTACGTGTAGGAGGTGGAATCAGCATCGCCCACTGACCATGTTAAGTTGATAGAAGTCATACCAATGTATTTCGGCTTGAGACCATGGACTAGGCTGGGCTCTGCAAAAGGCAAGACAACAATCTGTCAAGACAGAGAAAGGAAGAAAGAAAAGCCAGAGCCACATTTCCCTATTACACACAGAATGAGCATTAGGTATAGCCAAGCAGAACTTCTATAATATCAATGCCCAGTTTCAGACATTCATGCTGTGGCATTTCTGGAAAGGCCACAGTTCTCAGGGATAGTCTCTTTATTTCATTTCACATACTAAACTATTTGTTTCCACAGTGGGTTTCCAGACAGAGAAACAGATGGAAATCAGGGAAGAAAGCAAACTGCAGGGTGATCTTGATCTGCTAACTCAAAATTGTGCCCACAAACCCTAATCTGAACCCTTCAGCCCAGCCTCTCCCCAACATCAGTAGAAGGAAATGGGGTCCTTGAGCAGGTCAAACAGCTGACCCACCCCGGGGGGCTGTGTCTGCAAGCCTGACTCAGCATCTACACTAGGCAGACAAGACTCACCTCAGGCAGCTTGGATAAGCTCATCTACTCAGTAGCAGCTCAAGGACACACTGCTTTTAATTGCTTTGCAAAGATGTTGCTTGTTCCCTTTCCTTTCCTGAGCTCAAGATTTTCAAGACCCGCCTGGATGCAGTCCTGAGTAATGTGCTCTAGGCAATCCTGCTTTAGCAGGGGAGTTGGACTAGATGATCTCTAGAGGTCCCTTCCAATTCTGAAAATTCCGTGATTCCGTGAGCTTGACACAAAGAAAAGATCTCTTCCCATCTGGCCTTCTGATCTGGGAAAAAGGTGCCATGGCACAAAACCAACAAAAATGGCACCACACTAGACAATGAGGCTCTAGGCACTCTCACAGCCCAAAGAAGCCCCAGGCCAAGGACTCTGCAAAGAACTCAAAATCTTCAAGAATAAAAAGCCTCCATGATCCTGGCCACCACATCCCTGCACACTATGTCCTTTGGTATAACCTGTGATCACCTGCTCCCAGAAGCATTTTAGGGGGCCCCATTCAGCCCTCAAGTCTAGAAAAAGTTATGCTGTTGTAGCCGCTGCATCTCTACATAGACTTGAGTAGCCAAGCTAGTGAAATAATTGCTTTACAGGCAACACATGAAAACACACAGACACATACAATCTCAGTCCTTTTCCCTTTTACCAAAGACTGCTTGGTACTCATGCTCACAGGCACCTGGAGCAAAGCCACATTACAATGACAAATAGTACAAAGTTGGAAACCCAAGGTAAAGAAGCAGGGCAATTTGGTACAAAGCACACGTTTACTTGCAATTGAGAGGTACCATTTCCTTACTTGTATACAGGCATATGGACACCCCTTCTCCTTCCGTCTGACTGTCATTCACTGCTGCAAATACTGTGAAATTATACATCGTCCCAGGGATTAACCCAGTAATTTCGACTTCAGTGACATCGGACGTCAGGTTCCAAACAGAGGTACCATTTGCAACCTCTATCCTGTACGTGTAGGAGGTGGAATCAGCATCGCCCACTGACCATGTTAAGTTGATAGAAGTCACACCAATGTATTTCGGCTTGAGACCATGGACTGGGCTGGGCTCTGCGAAAGGCAAGACAACAATCTGTCAACCTGCAAGAACATCTGCTCACAAACATGGACAGAAGAAACACAGGCACACCACTCCTTCACTCTCTTCACATCACTCATTGTTCAGCGTGCAGGACCACCCCAGCAACATCACCAGACACTCCTGGAGGCTTTTGCCTCAATGGACAGCTAAGAGAGAACTGAAGAAAAGTCATTCTGAGGGGGATTCTTCTCCCTTGAGCACACAGTGCTCAAGGTGCGGCTGCACTAACGCTGAATACAGTGGGATAATCTCCTCTTTTGACTGGCTGATTATACTGAGTTTGATGCATCCCAGGATGCAGTTTGCCCTCTTGGCTGCCAGAGCACACTGCTCACTCATACTGAGCTTGCTGTCAACCAGGACCCCCAGATCCCTTTCTGTGGGGCTGCTCTCCAGCCACTCCTCTCCCAACTTATACTTGTGCTCAGCATTACTCCATCCCAGGTGTAGAATGCAGCATTTGGACTTCTTAAATTTCATGCCATTAATCATTGCCCAATGGTCCAATCTACCTAGATCGCTCCCCGAGGCCTCTCATCCCCCAAAAGAGTCAACAGCACTTCCCAGTTTGGTACCATCAGCAAACTTGCTAATGGTGCATTCAACTTCTGCATCCAGATCATTGATAAATATATTCAACAGACTGGTCCTAGAATTGAGCCCTGACGAGCACCGCTGGTGACAGGTTGTCAGCCAGATGTAGCCCCATTCACTACAACCCTTTGAGGCGTGCCCTTCAGCCAGTTCTTCACTCAGAGCACTGTAAACCCGCTCATCCCACAGCTGGACAACTTGTCCAGAAGGATGCTGTGACGGACAGTATCAAAAGCCTCACTAAAATCCAGACAAAACACATCCACCACCTTCTCTTCATTGACTAGGCTAGTGACCTTACCATAGAAGGACATCACTTTAGTAAAACAAGACCTTCCCTTTGTGAACCCATGTTGACTGTGCCTGATGATTGCATTATTCTTTAAATGCCCTTCAACAGTACCCAGTATGATCTTCTCCATAATTTTTCCATGAACTGAGGTTGGTCTAACAGGTCTGTAGTTTCCTGGGTCTTCCCTCACACCCTTCTTGTAAATTGGAATAACACTGGCTAGCTTCCGGTCAGCAGGGACCTCCCTAGACTCTCAAGACTGGTAACATAGCAACCAAGGATGAGGAAAAGGCTGAGGTATTTAATGCCGTCTTTGCCTCAGTCTTCAGCAGTAGGACCAGTTGTTCCCTGAGTGCCCAGATCCCTGAGCTAGAAGAGAGGGATGGGGAGCAGAATGAAGCCCCTGTAATCCAAGGGAAATGGTGAGGGACCTGCTTCAGCACCTGGAGGTACACAAATCTATGGGGCTGGATGAGATCCACCCAAGGGTACTGAAGGAGCTGGCAGAAGTGTTAACCAGGCCACTGTGCAATATTTATGAGCAGTCCTGGCTAACCGGGGAGGTCCCAGCTGACTGGAGGCTGGCAAACGTGACACCCACCCACAAGAAGGGCTGGAAGGAGGATCCAGGGAACTACAGGCCGGTCAATCTGACCTCGGTGCCTGGGAAGGTCATGGAACAGATCATCCTCAGTGCCATTACACAGTACATGCAGGAGAACAGGGTGATCAGGCCCAGTCAGCATGGGTTTGTGAAAGGCAGGTCACGCCTGCCCAACCTGATCTCCTTCTATGATAAGGTGACCCACTTAG